AATCACCCCCCAGGGGGGATGGCCACGCCACAATCCCTTCTCCTCCATTCTCTTCTCGGGATCCTGGGCACACACGCACACGCGCCTGGCGTGAGTTTAAGCCACCGGGTCTGGGACTCGAACCACAGTCGACTACGTGGGAGGCCAGCGACATAGCCATTATGTTAACTGCTGGTCCCAAACCTGTGGTAGTTTCTTAAAAATAGAAACATGCAGCTACCATATGACCTAGAAGTTGTACTTGTGGGCATTTGTCTCAGAGAAATGAAATCTTATGTTTACATAAAAATGTGTACATGAATGTTTGTAACAGCTTTACTCATAAGAGCTGAAATCTGGAGGCAACTCAGATCAGCAGGTATATGGCTAAACAAATTGTGCATACCATGGACTATCACTAAAAAGTTTGATGCACATAGCAACATGGATGAATCTTAAGGGAATTACGCTGGCTAAAATATGCCAATACACTCCAGTTATGTATCATTCTTCAGATGACAAGATTGGATAGAAAGGGAGACAGATTAGTGGTTTCCAGGGACTAAGATGGGGGTAAGCAGGGGTGGAAGTGGATGTGGCTGTAAGATTGCAATAGTAGGGATCCTCATGAAGATTATCTCATTCTGCTTCTTGGTTATATCAGTGTCAGCATCTTCATTTCTGACATTGGACTATCATTTTGTAGTATGCTACTATCAAGGAAATTGAGTGACTGGTATGTGGAATCTCTTATATTTCTTACAATTCCATTTGAATCTATAAGTATCTTGAAATTAAAGTTTAATTGTATTTTATTTTCAATTTTTTTTTGAGAGGTTTTTGCTATAGGGTGCGTGCGCTCGCCAGACAGAAAGAAAGTGAGAAATCACCCCCCAGGGGCATGGCCATGCCACAATCCCTTCTCCTCCATTCTCCTCTCAGGATCTTTGGAAAGCATGCACACGCGCCCGGCGTGAGTTTTAAGCTACCGGGTCCGGGACGCAAACCGTGGTCGACTACATGGGAGTCCAACGACATAGCCATTATGCTAACTGCTGGTCCCTAATTGTATTTTTTTAATTCTTTTTTCGGGGGAGAGGTTTTTGCTATAGGATGTGTGAGCTCGCCAGAAAGACAGCGAGAGACAGAGAGGGGGTGCAGGGTGTTTCCACACATAGCAAGTGAGGGGATTCTATGAGATGACTGTAAAATCCTAGTACGCTAACTGTTGGTTCCCGGGCCCATGTTTTGACAAATCAAGACATAGAGGTGTAACTATTTACAGCGATAGAGGCAATCCTCAGAATGAAAAACATGTCTAGTCGTGTGTGCTTATCAGTGAAGCTCTGGAAGGAGAGACTATTTGAGTATTTTATGACAATTAACATTACACATTTTTACCAACCTTAAGGTTAACAGACAACTCATCTCACATAAAGTGTACATTTGATCAATTTTGACCTAGGTACACTTGTGACACCATCTGCACAGTTCAGATAAACACCCTGCACCCCCAGAACAGCCAGATTTCAGCTTCTTAGTCTAAATTAGTCTATGTAGGAACTTAGGGACTTTGATTCTCTTTGAACTACGGTATGGTATAATCCACAATACCTTTTTGACTTCAAAGAGTTATTTTCTTTTAATGATGATACCATGGTGTTTTTTGAAGTCTATGTCTGCTTATTCATGTGATCTTAAGCATCGTGAATAAAACTATAAAGCCAATAACCTCTGGTGATGGGGAGGGCGGAAGGTAGGGAAGGTGACCTTTTCATAGACCATCCAGTTGTGGTTAGATGATAGGATTTCAGACTGTGGAATGGGGAATGGAGCTTATTAGAGTCCCCAGACTCTTCCACTATTTGCTTTTCAAAAGTTCCATTGGTTCTGTGGGCGGCTCCCTCTGAGCAGGGCTTTCCGAAAGCGAGGGCTGCATGCTCATTAATGGCCGCAGGCTCAGGCACAGTGCACCGAAAGCAGGGTCTCAGTGGAGTAAAGCTTGGCTTCCCCTCTGCTCTGGGGCGGTCTGCTGCACTGCCTGGAGCTTCCACTTGGCATGCGGTGGGACTGGGACAGGGAGTAGGTGCCTTGCTCTCAGTGGGGCAGCCACATCAGGGAGTTTGGAGTCTCAAGTGAATTGGAAATGACCTTTCGGTAGAAACCAGGTTGAACTTTGTGGTTAACTCAGTTTTTCTGATACCATTAATGCTGTAGCTGAGCCCTATGCTAGGCCTAGTGTCAGGGTTCTGGGGTTTTTGTTGTTTTGTTTGCTTGATTTTTGGGTTGTTTTTGTTTTTGTAGACTGCTTTGGGAGCATATCTGCCTTTTTATATCGTTGTTTCTATGGGGAAAGTGAATTCAGTATTCCAAACAGAAACACAGATGAACTTTTAAAACACAGCCTGTTCACAGGAGCTTGCAATAGCACTTGATGGAAGGGAAGGGGTTTGTGTTTAAAATAATGTGGTTCTTCTTAGCCTAAAGACAACACGTTTCTCCAAACATAGACTTCCCCTAAAATTATAGGACAAATGTGTTGGGATTGATTTGATAGTGAATTGATTTGCTATGAAACTTAGGGGGCAAATGTGTTAGGATTGATTTTGTTGGTTTTATTTAGAGGATTATGACATTTCTTAGGGAATGGGCTGTTGAACTTAATGGCTTTTTCACAGGTCAATAGTAACATGTCCCCGATGACGATGTTCTGTATTTTAACTAACAGGTGTTCAGGAGGCCTGATATAAGGGTAAGGATATTTGGCTTTCGGCAGCTGGGCCTCCCACGTATGTGCATCTGTGCTTTATTGAACACTTAGTCTATTTAGTGTTCCTTACTTTCTCACTGGTTTTTATGAGTCACTCAGATCAATTCGCTCTGCTGTGTCATAGCTTTACGTGTTCACTAGAAATGCTTTATTTGTGCTTATGTGCAATAAAAGCCAATTCGTGTGAGGTCAGGAGGCTGAAACTGTCACCAGTGTGCAGTACTGACTTGTCTTACTACTATGAATTCTCACCAAACGGATGTTCATGACAGGTTATGGGGCTCAGTCTACAGAGGCCTCTTACAACATTGTTTATCATATATTGTAATTCAAGATAAAGAATTTATAGTAACAGCAACAACGAGATGGTCAGTTGTTCCACCCCATCTAAGGAAGATTTCCAATCATGTCTGTGTTTGCATGTGGAATCCAAAAAACAGAAGTGAGTTATAAGCTGGAAGGTAAATTTGGCAAAGTCAGTACTAGTTAATGGTTTTTTATATTATGGATATAGTAGATTATCACTTATATTTTCCTTCCCTTTATTTCAGAGTATGCACAAAACAAGACAAAGATTGGTAATTTGCATGCATTTGAACCTTAGTTCAGATATTGAAAATTAACCTATTTCCATTAAATAACGACAATGTGGATTTTGGCATTATAATTTAATGACTTCAGTTTAAAATTTTTAGTCTTAATTGAAGCCAATGAAATAAGGACAAAATAATCAGGTCAAGTCAAGTTCTTGTTATTCTAGTTGGTTTTCCTGTGTTTAATCTTGTTTCACCATGTTTATTTTTGCTTGTGGTAATCATTTTCTTTCATTGATTCACATTGTTAAATATGAAAAGTATTTGACTTTACACTTGCATGGACTTTGAAATGTGCAATTTTTTTGTTTGTTTTGCTCACTCTTCTGTCTTAAGAAATTTTAATCAAAGAATGATCGCATTTTCTTTGTGTTTTAAAAAAAGGAACTGTCCAAAAACTGACTGCATTTAAAAATTACACTGACTTGAAGGTAGCTGTACCAACTGCATACTAAATTCAGTCCGATGGTAAATTATGAAAATGTGCCAAGAAGTCATTGTACTTTATTGACAGAAAATGAGAGGTGGGAAATGGTCAATTCTTTCCTAGCTTTTTGACTTTTTCATTGGTTTCCTGAAGAAACATGGTAATTGGAAAGTTTCATGAAGCAAACCCATCTATGTTAAAGTTAATTATTTTCAGCCTCAGATACTTGAAATAACTTTTCAGAGGGGCTATACCATTTTCATCTGTATTCATATTGTTTCTACTACCTGTTGAACCAAAATTCCAGTGTTTAACGTTTCAGAGAACATTGATTCTCTGAAGAAATTTAGAACAGTAGACCTTTTAAATGGATTGAAAACATTTAAGTAAGGATATGTGACCTTGTTAGCTGTTTCTTTGAAGCATGTTGATCCTGTGATTAGAAATATTTAATAGTTCCGTAAATCACAGCATTTAATTAGCAGTAAGAAAACAGAAACACGCACACACACCTATATGTATATATAGAATCCCCAGCATGTGATATGTGCATGCGTGCAGTGGAACTGACCTGGGCGATCTAACAGTTCCTTAGAGTCATGCATCATGGAATGACCGCTTTGCTCACCAGCAGATGGATCGTATGCTGGTGGTCATAAAAAGAGCATACAGGCTACATCACGTAGCTTAGGCGTGTGGTAGGCTGTGCCACCGGAGTTTGTGTGAGCGCCCTCTGTGATGTTCACGTCCTGAAGTGATGCATGCCTGTATGTGAATACTTAGCTGTGTTTAAAATACATGTCCGTGGAGTGCCTGTGTAGCTCAGCTCAACTTTGTCCCTCACCTGGTTTCTGTGGTATGCCTTATTTTCTGAGTCTGACATTATGTGCCTGTTATTTTATTTCTGGGCTATCCGCTATGGTTTGCTTGATTCTAAAAAGACAGTACATTATTTGAAATCCATGATGTTTGTTTACTTTTCATTTTTCTACCCCACACAAACACAGAGTAGATACTCCATTTTAGGCTGAGGATGCTATAGATGGCCTACACATTATTTTCCTTCACTCCAAGGGGGAAAGTGTTGTGATTTGCAAAGCCATGACAGGTGTGTCAACTTTTACATGCTTACTGTCTCTTTAAAAAGAAATGCTGTCCTTTCACCTGTCTGTTTGCACGTGTTTCTCTTTCTCCTCTGCCTTTTCTTGTCCATGCACCTGGTGCTGTGCAGGAGATTCAGGAAGAACACAATGGCTACCCTTCTGAAGCTGAAGCTGATCAGGTGGCAAGTTCTACATGTTCATCTGTTTGTAGCTACAGACCGTGTTATTTAGAAGTCATTTCATACTAGAGTTCTAGATGATAAGCAAAGCTTTCCCGATGCTTTCACCTCTACAGTAGTACCCTCCTGTCCAAATTTAGTAGATTCCATGGTGACATTATTTGCAAAAATTGGTTTATCCAACATTTCATTAACAAATTTGTTTATCTGTGCTGCTTGATTTCCTCAGATAGGGTATTGGTGAGGTCAGTGACCCTTCATCACTGTAGCAAAGTGCCTGGACAAAGACTTGGAAGGGACAGAGGGCACAGGCTTTGCTATACTTACCTTTGCATGGCCTATGCCCAGCATGGTACTGGTGCCTTGTAGGTATCTGTGGAATGAGTACATATATTTTACATTTGTTAATCAGAACACAGCCATTCGTAGTGTGTTCTTGAGTGCTTCTCCGCTCAGCACCTCTAGACCCTCTCTGGAATCTTTTAAAGCCACAGTACTCTCCTCAGTGCTTATGGAGAAACTTAATATGTGAAACCTTTCACAGAGCAGCTCCAGGGAAGTGTGGTGAGCCCTGGCTGCAGCTGGGCCTTGGCTCGCCACTGCCCAGCGCTGCCCCTCCTTTGGTAATTCTGGAAGCACCTTGAAGAAAGAGCCCTCTTTGAACACCACTGCTTTTGTCATGCAGCCGGTACATAGACTCTCCACCTGGCTGCTTAGATTGAGGGTGAGGAGAAAAGTAATAGAGAGACCAGAGTCACCCGTGGTGGTCTAGAGTCCTCATGGACAAATGCAAGGAGCTGGCAGACCTCAGCTGGACCTTCAGAGTCCCCGGAACAGGGTTGGGATGAGATCATCCTAGGGAATCCCTCACCTGAGCAGTGCTCTGAGCAAAGGCACCAAGAGGAATGGGTGTGTTTATGCGACCAAATTTACTCAAAAATAATTTCATCATTTGATTGTGCTGTACATGGGTTGGATAAATCAAGGGTCAAATTATGTCTTGTGCAACCTGGTAGTTGCAATAAAAGCTCAATCTAGCACAAGTGTGAGTCCTTTTCCTAACACCAGCTTGATGAAGGGAATCTACTGTACTCGCCAAAGCACAAACTGAGCCTTTAAAAATAGCCTCCTCTTGAGTTCCTGTGCTAAAGCTGAAACGTGTTTCTTTTCCAAAATGAACCTTCTGTGGGGAAGTCTGAAGCAGTGGGATCACTTTTTTGTTTTATTCTGACAATTGCTTTTTCATCACTTAAAAAGCATGCCCCAGATTTAATTCTCACTAGTGAGAGGTTTGTCTCACTGTGTCTCACTAGCACATTCCTGCCGCCTGTGAACGTGCAGGCCTTTCAAGCCAAACTCGGAATGACTATGGGACAAGAAGAGAAACGCTTGATCTTCAGCCTCTATCTTGAGAGCCTTTTGCATTTTCAAAACGGTCTCCATCACCTTGGGCTCCCCTGCGCAACATTTTATTAGCTAGTTTCAGATTGAGGACTTTAAAATGTTTGACGTGGCTTGCTCTAAAGCTTAAAGGGAGTCAGATCTTCCCCAGCTCCCTTCAGATTCAGTTGATTAGAACAACTTGCTTAGTAAATAAATTTCAAAATAATCTGTCCCCATTTATATCTGAATATATCATAGAATTTGAGTCTATAAATAGGATATTTAGTCATTAAAACAAACTTTTACAGTGTATTATTTGAGATAATGTAAAACTCATGGATATAAATACCTTTCTCACTTTGTAACTGAACTATAAAATTAGTCATTAGTTCAAGTAGTAGATTGAAGCAGACTTAAATTAGGGCTTCTGTTTAGATTGTTGATGTTTTAGGGTTTCTAAAATGGGGCATTTAAAAGCATACATATTGCTTTATGCTTTATTGCATAAAAGAAAAATTTCTAAATCAACCATGAATATAAATATGGAACCATAAATGGTTCTCCACTCCTAAAGATTTTGGCTGAAAAAGATCTTAAAAACCAACCTGGACTAAAAATTCGATGTGAGTAAATGTCTGAGGTGACAATGACTCCGAGTCAATATTCTTTTAACCATGCATCTTTTGAAGAGGATGGATTATGTTGCTTTGTGCCCACCCCCTCCTCCTCCCCAGTGGAACAGATACAGTCCTGAGCCACCTTGAGCACTGAATTTGCTAGTTATATTTTTACCTTTTTTTCTTTATTTTATAAAATGTGATGAAACTACAGTGTTTTTAAATTGACCATTTTGTCCTTAATAAGATATTGAAATATGATGAAAAACAGTTTGTTTTGCATTTTTAGTAACTTAGCTTGGAATCATAAAGGGCATTCATTTAAAAAATATTTTGCTTTACACAATGATGCTGAAAATTTAGTATCCTGCAGCCTGTTTTTTGCTGAACGCTAGAAGCCTCCCCATGTTAACAGGTATTCATTGGAAAAAGCACTCCCTGACCAGTAGGTATGAGAAATGCCTTATGCTCTAGTGCCCCCTTGCTGATTTGGTGTGCATTACATGCTAAAGACGTCTCACTAAAAACCCTGTTTAACTTTTTTTGTGTAACCTGGCATTTCCCAAACTTCAAAACAAAACAGCCCCTGAAACAAAGACCAATTCACATGTCTTGTGAAATGAATGTTCCATGAAACACAGCTTGGGAAGTGCTCGGGTATGGCTTACCTGTTCTTACTCATGACCCATGGTGTCAGAGACACCAAGGAAAACGGAACTGGTTTCCTTGGCTGCATCTCATGGGGCTGCAACCTTGGAATGGGCTCTGAGTTCTGGCTCTAGTCTCTGGCGTTATGTTTCAAGAACACTGTTTCTCACCTCCCCTGAGTTATCTGGCACTATCCAACCAAGTTCACGAGGGACTGGCGGCTGGGCTACCGTGCACATCTGGTCATTTAGAAATGTGGGCATGTGTCTTTCCAGCTATCCAAGGCATCTTTTTCCCAGTCTCAGTATAGCCAGGAGACCTCCTACTAAGTCATTTGCAATCTTTTTGGTAAGTGTGAAATGAGTCCAAAGTGAATTGGCTTGGGAGGTGTCTGCTGAACCCACCCTGCTCTGCAGCAGGGTCGGGATACTCCTCACTGCCGGATAAGAGCACACTTTCTTGTGGCCCAAATTGGATAAGTGCTGATAGTCCCACCCTCCCTGTCCCCACCATTCGCTTTGTGTGTCTAATGAGCTTTCAGTTTGTCTGAAACACACACAGGTATAGCTGGCCTGTGGTACCAAAGCCTAGGGCATTCTTTGTTTTGTACTGCCCTGAGACTATCCCTTGGTTGTTTTAATTAGACTTTGGGCTTTCCAAACCATCTCATAGGCCGGGTCATTTTGACAGCCAGCTAAGCATGTACATCTAATGTTGATTGTATTTGTTAGTTTCATTTTCAGAAGGTAATCTTTTTCGGGCCTTATTTCCAAGTTCTGGAGGTACCTTATAGCAGCTGTCTGTGTAGTGATTCCAGTATCTATCTGTCATGTCAAGCCATTTCTGTATTAATGCTTTCTAACTGTGAAATTTACATATGTTGCTAGAATATGCAGCATGATGTCCTGTGATGCTGAGCTTTGAAATGGTCTTTTAAGGGGAGGGGGCATACATTGTGCATGCGTCTGTAGCTTTATAACAAGAGCACAGAGCACCAGAACTCTTCACAGCTATACAGACGGAAAGTGAGATTTACTCTTATTTGGTTTTTCTGCCAGGCTCTAAGGGATGGAAATAAGCTGGCACAGATGGAGGAAGCACCACTTTTTCCAGGAGAATCAATTAAGGCCATCGGTAAGTTCAAAGTGTGCACTTTTCTTATAGTGATCCGTAAAATGAAATGGTGCTTTATTCATGAGTACAGGGGTGCTATGTGTGCCACCAGCCAGACCAATTTAATTCAGGGGCAGATGGACTCAGTCTGTTCATTCTTACCAGCATTACTGTCGGCATCTGACCTTAAGTGGTGGAAGACTCTGGAGGGTCCTGCTGATGTCCAGGTGAGTATCCAGGTGGCATTACCAGTGAAATAGGGGACCCTACGTTTTCTGATAAACCAAAAGCTGATTAGACACTCATGTCAGTTCACTGCTTTGTTGGAATCCCTTACTGTTAGGAAAATGTCTTGATGGAAGATCTTTATCATATTTTATAACAGTTTTGAGAACTTGACAAAGAAATTTTAATGTCTTGTGAAATTTCAGAAAATACAATTTCAGTGCAAAGAAAGGGCATGTGTTGCCATCCTAGATTGGAAGGATGGTGGCATGCAGGCTCCCCATCCCTCCATGGTGGGCTGCCAGGCATTTCAGGAGGTAGCTTATAGATTAGGTGGGTGGGACCGTCTGGTGCGCTAAGCTGTTTCCTTCTTCCTATGTGGCTCCTTCCCAAAGACATGTACTCAGTATCAGAGTATGGTCATCTTGTGTCAAGAATGTTTGAGTACCTGGGCTCTTTTACCAGAACCTCTAAATAACCATTCCTGTTGGCTATGCTAGTCTATGGCTCTGGACTTTGTTTCTCTTTAAGTTCTTGGTCCTTGAGTTTTTTGTTTTGTTTTCTAAAATTTTTCACTTATTTCTTCTGTGAGTGAGAGAGAGACACACAGAGAGAGAGAGATACAGAGAGAGAGAGACAGAGACAACACCCCTCAACAGGGTCTCCATGCTGTGATAATCCCCCAACTTTATCCAACCTTGGATCATGGGCACACATATGCCTAGTATACTCAGTGAGGTCTCTGGATTTGAACCAGGAGCCTTCCTGTGTATGTCAGCCTTGCAGAACATCATACCCCACCATTTTGTACCACTGTCTGGACCCGGTCCTTGGTTTTTAAACTCTTTCTTCCCTTGACTTCATTCCTGGTGGCCCCTTGGCCTCTGCCTGCTCTTTCTCTGGGTGTTCTTCTAACCCCACCCCATGCTGCTTTCTGAACAATCTGTTTAGAATGCAGGGCTAAGGATGTCATGCTCCTTTTTCTCCAGACGGTAAACGGTACAGTCCACTCACCAGAGATAAGAAGTGATCTAGGCGACGGATTACCTTGTACTTCAGAGGCACACTTTGCATTCAGGAGTGTTTGAAAGCTTAGGTGTCAGCAAAAGGAGAATATGTTAAGAATAGAATTGTGGTCAAGGTGCTCTTGCTCTTCTATTTGCTTCTCTTTTTACTCTGGAAACAGCTTAGAGAGAGGGAAGCTCCCACCAAGCCCACTCCTCTCCCAATATTTGGGAATACCTTACAGTGAGATCTGCAAATCTTTAAGTGATATAAGTGTGCTTTATGCCCCTTCAGTGACTTATGAAGAGCATATAAATTAACCCCTGCTTTTCAACAATATATATTTCTAGAGGCAGAGTATTAAAATATGTCACTGTGAATTCTATCACCCCCCCCCCACCCAGAAGTTTCCTTATGCCCCCTTTTGGTACCTACCCCCTGTGCATTCTCCCCTATTCTTAAGCACTGTAGAATAGCTAATGTTTTCTAGGTTTATAGAAATGTAATCATATAGCATGTTCTTTCATCTGACTTTCTCCAATGAAATAATTATTTTGATATTTATCCATATTATGACATGGGTTAGCAGTCATTCCTTTTTATTGCTGAATAAATGTTCTATGGTATTAATACATGACAGTTTGCCTAGCCATTCATGTGTTGGTGCGTATTTGAGTTGTTTAATGGACTGGTTGGATTATATGATAGGTGTACATTTAACTTTTTAAGAAGCTGCTTAAGTGTTTTTTCCGAAGTGGTTATACCAGTATATAGTCTCAGCAGCAGTGTATGGGTATCCCAGGTCTTCCTTTCCATTAATGCTTCTCATTTCTTTTTCTTGCTTTATTACTCTTGCTTGAACTTCCAGAGTAAGACAAGAGGTATCTTGTCCCTGCTCTTAGGAAAGCTTTAAGTCTTTTGCCACTCAGTATGATGTTAGCTGTTTGTTGTTTTGTTTTGTTTGAGAGATTTTTGCTATAGAGTTCATGTGCTCACTGGAGAGACAGAGAGACAGAAAGTGAGAAAGCACCTCCCAGGGGGATGGCCACGCTATAATCCCTTCTCCTCCATTCTCCTCCTGGATTCTTGGGCACACACAGACACACATCCAGCATAATTTTCAAGTCACTGGATCCAGGTCTTGAACTGCAGTCAACCATGTGGGACTTCTGGACTTCATTCCTGGTGGCCCCTTGGCCTCTGCCTGCTCTTTCTCTGGGTGTTCTTCTAACCCCACCCCATGCTACTTTCTGAACAATCTGTTTAGAATGCAGGGCTAAGGATGTCATGCTCCTGTTTCTCCAGACGGTAAACGGCACAGTCCAGCGACAGAACAGCTACGCCATCTGCTGGCCCAGCTATTTTATTTTTTATTTGTTGTATAGTTTTTTGTTTTGTTTTTGTGGGTATCTTATCCTGTTGAAGATTTCCCTTCTATTCCTAGTTTGTTAAGTATTTTTTTTTAATCAGGAATGGATGTTGGATATTGTCAAGTTGATCAATTGATATCATTGTGATTATCCCCCTTCTTTAGCCTGTAATATGGTAGATGACATCAATTTTTTTTTTTTAATTTTGCAAGAGGATGCATGTACTCACAGAGAGACCGGGAGGCAGAGGGAGAAAGCACCTGCCCTCCCATGCCACAGTCCCATCTCCTCCCTTTCTCCATCTTCTCGGGATTTGGGGCACACATCCACTTATATCCTGCATGTTTTTTTAAGCTGCCAGGGCTGAGATTTGAACTGCACTGTTGGCCATGTGGGATCTGGCTTCCTTAACCACTAGGCCTTAGAGCTGGCTCTACATCAATTTTTTAATGTTAGCTCAACCTTGCATTTCCAGGCTATACTATTTGCATATTATATATTATGCTTTTGGTATATTGTTGGATTTGGTTTATTAAGACTTTGTTTAGAAGTTTACATTAATATTTATGAGGGATATTGGTCTGTAGTTTTCTTATAATGACTTTGTCAGGTTTTGGTTTCAGTAATGCTAGCCTCATATAATAGAATGAGTTGGAAATTATTTTGTCTTCCTCAGTTTTCTGGGACAATTTATTTGTTCCTCATAGTAGAGTTTACTAATAAAGCCACTTAGACCTTGAGTTTTCTTTGAGGGAAGGTTTTAACTACAAATTTAAATTTTTAAGTAGTTATAGGACTATTTAGGTTGTCTTCCTGAGTAAGCTTTGGTAGTTTATGTCTTCCTTGGAATATTCCATTCAATCTGAGTTGTCAAATAATTGTCATACAATCATTTATCATATTTCTCTAATATCTGTAGGATTCATAGTGACATCACCTTTCTCATTTCCGATATTGTTAATGTACTTATCTTCTCTCTCTTTTGTTCCTGATTAACCTTGATAGAGGTTTATGAATTTTATTGGTCTTCTTAAAGAATCAGTTTTTGGTTTCATTATTTTCTTTGCTTATATTCATTGATCTCTACTCGGGTATTTATTATTTCTTTTCTGCTTACTTTGGGTTTAATCTGCTCTTTTCCTAGTCTCTTGAGGTGGAAGCCATGGTCATTGATTTGAGACCTTTGCTTTTTTGTAGTATAGGCTTTTAGAGTTTCCTCTCAGTGCCAGTTGAACAGCATCTCATTAATTATGGCATTATGTTTTTGTCTTCACTCAGTTCAAGATGCTTTTTTTTTTTTTGAGAGATTTTCACTGTAGGGCGCGTGCGCTCGCCAGACAGACAGAGACAGAGAGACAGAAAGCGAGAAATCACCCCCCAGGGGGGATGGTCACGCCGCAATTCCTTCTCCTCCATTCTCCTCTCAGGATCTTGGGCACGCACGCACGCACGCACACGCGCCCGGTGTGAGTTTTAAGCCACCAGGTCCGGGACACGAACCGCAGTCGACTACGTGGGAATCCAGCGACATAGCCATTACACTAACTGCTGGTTCCCTCAAGATGCTTTTGATTCCCCTTTAGATTCTTTTCTTTGACCCTTGCGTTATGTAGGAGTGTGTTGTCTGATATTTGTGCATTTCCTAAATGGTTTTTTTCTCTATTGATTATTAATTTTATCCCATTGTTTTAAAAATACCCTGCTCTTTATTATAATTTCTAATTTACATAAATAGTACATATACATATATAGTATGTATTTATGGGACACAGTGTATTGTTTCAAAATGTGTATATCATGTAATGATCAAATCAGGGAAATAAACATATATGCCATCCCAAGACATAGTATTCAAAATCCTCTCTCTGCTAGCTGTTTTGAAGTAAACGTTGAGTTGTCACCACCTGTCATTACTGTACTGTGCTGCAGTCCTCTAGAGCTCAGTCCACTTATCTCTCCACACTCTCATATCTGTTAACCAGGTTCTTCCCATCTCCCCAGTCCCCTTCCCTTTTCCACTTCTAGGATCCACCTTTACACTTTCCACTTCTGTGCAATTGAATTGTTTAACTTCCACTGATGAGTGAAAACATATTGTATTTTTCTCAGCAAACATAAATGCCTCAATTATTTTTATAAGCAGATATTCCACAATCTGAAAAAAAATCCCATATCTGAAACACTTCTGATTCCAAAGCATTTCAGATAGGGGATACTCCACTTACACATTCAGTCGTCCCATTTAGGCCCTCTATAGCTATGCATGTTCCTGTTGTTTCAGTAGAATGGCACTTCAGGAAAATCATGAAGACATGATATCTTTGTGACAGATGTGAGCTTCTTAACACTCACTGGAATTAAACACATTGGGCCCTTGATTGATACTAACAGAAAGAAAACTGTGGGACAGAAAGTTGGCGTGGTGGTAATGTGACTGGGCCCTTGTGGGCCAGCCCTCAGATTCAAGGCCTAAGGCTAGTGTGATAGGACCAGCAGGTGGTATAGTGGTTAAGGCACTGGACTCCCATGGCCAACTGTGGTTCAAATCTCAGACCCAGTGGCTTGAAACTCACACCGGGAGTGAGTGTGTGCCCAAAATCTTGAGAGGAGAATGAAAGAGAAGGGATTGTGATGTGGCCTCCCCCCTGGAGGCTGATTTCTCACTTTCTGTCTGTCTCTCTGGGTTGTACACATGCCCTATGGCAAATATCTCTCTCTAAGAAAATTTTTTTAAGAAAATTAAAGGTGATAAAGAAGCTGATAAGGAATTTGAAACAAGTCTTTTTCTACTTTGTGGATGTGGTTCTAATTTTTGTCATCTATAAAGAAGTTCCTTTTGGAAATTCATTAGGGGACAATGTTTAGCTTGAAGTAGCAGTAATTTAGAAAGTGGTAGCCCAGGACCTTCAGAGTTTATTAACGTTTTAAATATGAATAATTTGTCACCCAGAGAAAATGTTAAGTACCTGGAAAAAATGACAAAATGTAACTTAACATGAGGCTTTCTACATAAAACTTTATTAGGTAGCAAATCAGAAGTTTGCTTTAAAAATTGAACTTTATTAGAAGACTTTATGTCTTTATTTAAAGTAATATAATAATTGACATCACTGTAAAATTGAGAAATCCTAAAGAACTAGAGTCACAGAGAAATATATTTGGAAGCTTGTGTTCTGATTTAATGAAGCTCAAGGCTAAGGCAGTGGTTGTTGTGTGGGTTTTTCTTTCAGTGAAAGATGTCATGTACATCTGCCCGTTCCTGGGTGCTGTGAGTGGGACCCTGACCGTGACGGACTTCAAGATGTACTTCAAAAATGTGGAGAGGGTGAGTTTTTAAAAGTGTTTTTCTTTTTTTCCTGAAAAACACTTCGGGAAGCTAAAAGAGGAAAGTAAAAAGTCCCCTCCAATTCTGTCACCCCAGAGATAACCAGAGCATGAGACTTAAGATGAACACATTTGCAAACAGATTCTGTCTCTTGAAGAAAAGGCTATTAAGGGACGTTTCACTGTAGTCTCAGTAAATCCTTCCCAAGGCCTGCTGTAAATCAGGCTTCAGTCTCTTAGCAGGGCCAAATAGGAGCTGTGAAGTAAGCAAATACATTTTGTAACCTAGCCAGGACTTAAATATGAAGACTCTGTCGACTGACATTGATAAGCATTCATTTTAATGTTTAACCCTAGGACCCGCACTTCATCCTTGATGTTCCCCTGGGAGTGATTAGCAGAGTTGAGAAGATCGGAGCACAGAGCCATGGAGACAATTCTTGTGGCATAGAGATCGTGTGCAAGGTATAATATGAACATGAGTGACAGCTAAATGGGGACAGTCAACTCGGTACTTGCTCCGATGCATTCTCCATGGTCTTTGGGCAGTAAGAGTAACTTGTGACCCCCTCCTATCTGTCAGTGAACTCCAACCACCATTTAACCTGTTGGAGTAAACCTTTGCTTTCCTGTTGAAGTATTTCTTTCTTTCTTTTTTAAATTTTATTGAACTTTTATTTATTCATGTATTCATTTATTTATTTATTTTAATTTGACCAGAGTGAGGGACAGAGAGAGAGAGAGAGGGAAAGTGAAAAAGCAAGCCGCCAGGTCCAGGACTTGAGCCCCAGTCAACCATGTGGGAGTCCAGTGCCCTTAACCACCACGCCACCCACCAGCCCCTCTATTGAAGTATTTATAATGAACGTGGACCTAGAACCTAAGTGCTGACATTATTCAGGGACTTCAAAAAGTTTGTTGAAAATAGAATTATACCAGAAGGCTTTTTTGGTGCAAAGATTTTGAAATATTATGCTTAGCTTCATAATATGCATTCTCCAAGAACTTTTCAAAGACCCTTATGTTCATTATACCTCTGAGAAATCAAATGTAAAGCAGAGATCAATACTTTTTTCTGGTTTGTGGTTTTGAGAGTATTCTTCAGAACACTGGATGGTCAAAAACTTCCTAAAGGGAGTGCAATGTCTTATAAATTCTGTGGCCCAAAGCACAACTAGGTTTCTTGTCTGTGTTGGAAATTTCACCGCGAGCTGTGCTTGCTTGTGGTTTTGTACCCTTCCTGTAATGAGTTAAGAAGCCCTATGTAGGATCGCTTTAAAAACAAGTAGTTGATTAAGAGACGCTCTTAACTGCTACATTTTATTCTTAATGACTTTATCTCATGGAGTGCAGTAACTATTGTAAAAGCCCTACCTAAAGTGCCAGGTAAGGGAGCCTACCTGCAGAATTATCGAGGCCCCTACCAAATTTGGGGCTCAGTTCAATTCTGGAGTTCCTGCCAAATTATCATTATTTGCTTTGATTGCCTCTTTTTTTTTTTTTTTTTTTTTAATTTGTTTTTATTTTTTAACATTAATATGCTATACATCATTACAGTATACAAAATGAAGTTTTCATCCAAAATACATTGTCTGTTGGCTCAATCAAGTACATCAACATATGTGCATCTTTGAGGCCAGCTCCATCTGGTGGGCCCTGTGGTCAGATCTGTTTTTTCAAAGAACTCTTCACTCTTCCAGACCATGAACCTGTTGGCTTACTGGGCTCACTTCAGTCACTATATATGGCAGTCACTCCTTTAGTAAATTTTGGGTGTCTCTCTCAGGCAAGATTCCCTTTGTGGAACAACGACAAACAATTCCAGAACTTAAAGCAGAGTGGTGACTTGATTGGTCTTGCCATTTTGAAGCATGTCATTCTCCTTCTCATAACTCCTGAGTAGCTCCCCATTATTCTTAAGCTAACGGAAAAACTGCTTAGCAAGACCCTGTGTGTCTTAACCTGCTCACTTCTCTCTGTAGCTACCACCTCCCTCCGGTCTGGGCATCCCAGTCACTTGCCCACCCCCTCACACAAGCCCTGGGACCTTTGCAAATGCTTTTGCCCTGGCTTGTAATGCTTTTCTACTTGAGCACTCCTAAGGAGCAAGTCAGCCAGCCAGGCTGCCCAGGTGTGTGTGTGTATTTTAAACAATTCGGAAAGTACAAAAGCTGTGTATAGTAAAAAGTAAATCTGCTTTCACTTAACACCCAGCCACTCTGTTCCATCCCTACAGGTACCCACCATTCCCAGTTCCTGACATACCCTTCCACTATTCCCGTTGTATGTGAGCATGTCTGTACAGTCTGTCTTTGTAAAGCCAGTGTACTGCGTACGTCCCTTTCTTTTTCCCCCTTGACAACACAGCTTAGAAGGTCTTTCTATCAGCAGGTAGAGTGCTGCTTCTGGTTTTTAACTGCTCTTTAGTATTCCATTCACTACACTGTAGTTTACTTAGCCGGCCCTTACTGATGGCTATTTAGATGATTTCAATTCTTGTGCTGTTATAAATACGATCATGACAAAAACTGTTTCACTTGCCAAATTGCTAAAGCTTTTTAAAAATTTTTTTTGTACTTTATATAAAAATATATATTTTTTCATTTAATTTTCTTCCATACATTCAATCACATTATTATTTGTCTTATGAAATGGATATTTCAACAAGAATAGAATTTTTGTGTTTAACTAACAAGGACATGGGTTTCAAAAGGTTTGGAGCGCTGCTCAGAATGTCGTCCTCAGAAGAAATCATGTCCAAATGTCCTTGGTGTGAACAGTCCTGCTGACTTGTGCTTGGGTGTTCAGCATCAGCTTGCATTGGAAGAGGGGGCTTCTTTTCTTTAAAGTTGTTGTATATAACCACGGTATTTCTTTCTTTCTTTTTTCTCTCTCCTTTCTTTCTTTCTTTCTGTCTTTCTGTCTATCTGCCTGCCTTTTTGTCTGTCTTTCTGTCTTTCCTTCTGTCTGTCTTTCTGTCTTTCTGTCTGTCTTTCCATCTTTCTGTCTGTCTTTCCGTCTTTCTGTCTTTCCGTCCTTCCGTCTTTTTGTCTGTCTGCCTGCCTTTTTGTCTGTCTTTCTGTCTGTCTGCCTGCCTTTTTTGTCTGTCTTTCTGTCTTTCTGTTTGTCCGTCTTTCTGTCTGTCTTTCTGTCTTTTTGTCTTTCCGTCTGTCTGTCTTTCTGTCTACCTTTCTGTCTATCTCTCGTTCGTTCTTTCTTTCGTTGGTTCTTTCGTTCATTCTTTCATTCTTATTTGTTTATTCATTTGTTCGTTCTTATTCTCTCGTTCTTTCATTCTTTCGTTCTTTCGTTTGTTCTGTCTTTCT